ATATATATATATATATATATATATATATATATATATATATTCTGCCTAGTTAGGGTGCATTGTTGATGACTTGCTGATCTTGTTTCTCCCTCTCTCGCTTTCTCTCTCTGCATGTTTCCGTTTCTTCTGTCGATGTTCGTTGGCCGTATGGATGCAGTGTTACTATATTAATTTATTCCTTCACTACATTAATTCATTACTAAATTTTCAATTACTGCAGCTGCCCCCATCCCCGTTCCTATACACATCGAGACAACCCCAAAGCGGCCTCGCCGTCGGCGCAGCTCCGGCAGCAGCGTGGCGATCTGCCGGGCCCCTGTACACCCCAGTGGGTGGCCTAGCGCGATCGCGCCCCCTGTGAGCCAGCAGCAGCAGCAGCAGCAGCACCAGCAGCAGCAGCAGCAGCAGCAACAGTAACAGCAGGAATAGAGAAAAAAAGAAGAAGAAGGAGGAGGGGGAATATAGCGCTGCTGCGTCTGTTCTGCTCTTTCTCAAGAAGCTGTTTTGCAATCGCCATTTTTTAATTTTATTTTTGTCGATCATGTATATATTCTACGCTAAATCAATGAATTATTACATAAAGTATTATATTATATTATTTAATTAATTAATTAAAATATTATTATATTCAGAAACTAGACTGGGTGGGCGTGCATCTGACCGACGCTCTGTGGCGGCAACGGGGTGTATAGGCAGGTCCCTAGAGAGAGCTGCGATGCATTTTTTATTTTTTTTTTTCTTTTTTCTTTTTTTTATTTTTTTTTTAATATATTTCTCACCATTAGGATTTAGTTTATCGCGAGGAAGCTGCAGCTTTTTTGCGCAGTAAACGACCTGAGAGGCAAATGCTTCATTCAATTCAAATACGGATACATCGCCCATAGATATTCCCGCTTTCTCTGCAGCAGAGAAAACAAAAAAAAAACAAAATTATAATAAATTAAAAAATATTATTTTGCCTTGAGAAAGTAAACATGCTGTTGTAGTTGCATGCACTGTAGCGATAAACAATAGCGTAGAGAGGGGGCAACAACAAAAAAAATAAAAATAAATAAACACTTTATACATGAATAATTAAATATAAACATTACAAACATAATATATAAAACAAAAACATTATGATCAGCAACAACAGAAGCGAAACAAACAAAATAACAATAAAAAATAAACAAAAACAATATAATTATACAAAATAAAACAAAAAGATTAAATGCCCTGATACATACAACAAACACTCTGCAGCCAAACAAAATATACAATAAAACGAAATTAACAAAACGATTGCCATTGCACGCATGCATGCACATATATATATATATATATATATATATATATATATATATATATATATATATAT